AAACCGAAATAATGCATATGAAAAAAACCGAAATAATGCATATATGCACAGTTTCGGTTGAAAACCGAAATAATGCATATGAAAAAAACCGAAATAATGCATATATGCACAGTTTCGGTTGAAAACCGAAATAATGCATATGAAAAAAACCGAAATAATGCATATATGCACAGTTTCGGTTGAAAACCGAAATAATGCATATGAAAAAAACCGAAATAATGCATATATGCACAGTTTCGGTTGAAAACCGAAATAATGCATATGAAAAAAACCGAAATAATGCATATATGCACAGTTTCGGTTGAAAACCGAAATAATGCATATGAAAAAAACCGAAATAATGCATATATGCACAGTTTCGGTTGAAAACCGAAATAATGCATATGAAAAAAACCGAAATAATGCATATATGCACAGTTTCGGTTGAAAACCGAAATAATGCATATGAAAAAAACCGAAATAATGCATATATGCACAGTTTCGGTTGAAAACCGAAATAATGCATATGAAAAAAACCGAAATAATGCATATATGCACAGTTTCGGTTGAAAACCGAAATAATGCATATGAAAAAAACCGAAATAATGCATATATGCACAGTTTCGGTTGAAAACCGAAATAATGCATATGAAAAAAACCGAAATAATGCATATATGCACAGTTTCGGTTGAAAACCGAAATAATGCATATGAAAAAAACCGAAATAATGCATATATGCACAGTTTCGGTTGAAAACCGAAATAATGCATATGAAAAAAACCGAAATAATGCATATATGCACAGTTTCGGTTGAAAACCGAAATAATGCATATGAAAAAAACCGAAATAATGCATATATGCACAGTTTCGGTTGAAAACCGAAATAATGCATATGAAAAAAACCGAAATAATGCATATATGCACAGTTTCGGTTGAAAACCGAAATAATGCATATGAAAAAAACCGAAATAATGCATATATGCACAGTTTCGGTTGAAAACCGAAATAATGCATATGAAAAAAACCGAAATAATGCATATATGCACAGTTTCGGTTGAAAACCGAAATAATGCATATGAAAAAAACCGAAATAATGCATATATGCACAGTTTCGGTTGAAAACCGAAATAATGCATATGAAAAAAACCGAAATAATGCATATATGCACAGTTTCGGTTGAAAACCGAAATAATGCATATGAAAAAAACCGAAATAATGCATATATGCACAGTTTCGGTTGAAAACCGAAATAATGCATATGAAAAAAACCGAAATAATGCATATATGCACAGTTTCGGTTGAAAACCGAAATAATGCATATAACAAAAACCGAAATAATGCATGCATGCACAATTTCAGTTCAAAACCGAAATAATGCATATGGCAAAAACCGAAATAAAGCATACATGCACAGTTTCGGTTGAAACCGAAATAAGTTTCCATATGCGCAATTTCGGTGCCCCGGGGTGAGCGTATAGTGAAGAGCAAAGCGTACACACACTTTAATTGAAGCCTTGCTCGATGAAAGCTCTTCGCTTCACTCGCCGCTTCACTATGTTTTGACCTATGGCGCTATGGCGACCGAACGAAATTGTTTATAATTCAAATTTAATTGTTTTATAATGTGAAGGAATGGTGACAACAATTTTAAGTTTTCATTATTTCATTTGACGGGATATTTTTATGTTTTCGTTACGCTTTTTATCATTTCTTCATTTGTATCCGTAACTTTTTATTAATTTTTTTTCCATTGCGTAATTTGTATACCAACTTATCACTTCGTTTGATAAGATATCGTAAATTCTCTGTTTTCAAACTGTCCGGATTTAGATAAGTAGAAACATTAAATAAAATTCTCTAGTAAAGCTTTCCCAATCACTTTCCGTTTCGAACCAGTTATAATACTTCATTTAATTTCAATATTTTCAGTTTATTTTACATATTGCATAATCCTATTTAGAATATTTGCAAATCAAGATTTCTCAAATACCTTTCGTTTGGAACCAATATTGTAACATTTCATTTATTTTATCAATTTAATTGAGTTAAATTTTCAAACAGGTAACAAACCTCCTCAAACACATTTTCGGCTGTAAGTCTTCTTAAAACTATTTAGTTTGATACCCACCTTGCAATATTTCGTTTATTTAATCAATTTAACTGAGTTACAATTTTAAAATAGGTTGCACCCCCCCTCAAAAATATTTCCAGCAGGCATGTTTTTAGACCTCTTTAATTTGATTGCTATATTGTAATAAGTCATTTATTTTATCGATTAAATTTAGTTAAATTTTCAACAGGTAACAAGCTCCTCAGAAATATATTTGGCTATAAGCTTTCTTAAAACTCTGAAGTTTTATACCCACATTGCAATATTTCAGTTATTTTATCAATTTAACTGAGTTAAAATGTTCAAATAGGTTGCAACCCTGCTCAAAAATATTTCCAGCAGTCATCTTTTTTAAACCTCTTTAATTTGATACCTAAGTCATTTATTTTATCGATTAAATTTAGTTAAATTTTCAAACAGGTAACAACCCTCATCAAAAATATTTTCGGATGTAAGCTTTCTTAAAACTCTAAAGTTTAATACCCACATTGCAATATTTCATTTATTTTATCAATTTGACTGAGTTACAAATTTCAAATAGGTGGGAACCCTCCTCAAAAATATTTCCAGCAGTTACTTTCTTAAACCTTTTTAATTTAATATCTATATTGTAAAATATCATTTAGTTTATCAATTAAATTGCGCTAAATTTTTTAACAGGTGGCAATCCTCCTTTAAAATATTTTCGCCTGTGAGCCTTCTTTAAACTCTTTAGTTTTATACTTTGCAATATTTCATTTACTTTATCAATTTAACTGGGTTAAAACTTTTAAAATAGGCGGCAACCCTCCTAAAAAATATTTCCAGCAGTTATCTTTCTTAAACCTCTTTAATTTAATATCTATATTGTAATATATCATTTAGTTTATCAATTAAATTGAGCAAAATTTTTTAACAGGTGGCAACCCTCCTTTAAAATATTTTCGACTGTTAGCCTTCTTAAAACTCTTTAGTTTGACACCCACATGGCAATATTTTATTTATTTTATCAATTTGACTGATTTAAAATTTTCAAATACTCCTCAAAAATATTTCTAGCAGTTATCTTTCTTAACCGTCTTTAATTTGATACCAATATTGTAATATTTCATTTATTTCATCAGTGTAATTTAGTTAAACTTTGAAACAGGTGGCAACCCTAATGATACATATTTTCGGCTGTAAGCCTTCTTAACACTCTTTAATTTGATACCCACATTGCAATATTTCATTTACTTAATCAACTTAACTGAGTTAAAATTCTCAAATAGGTGGCAACCCCCGTCAAAAATACTTCCAGCAACTATCTTTCTTAAACCTCTTTAATTTGATACCCATATTGCAATAATTTATTTATTTTATCAATATATTTGGGTTTAAAAATTTTCAAATAGGTGGCAACCCTCCAGTTTTTTGCGATATCATTGGTTCTGGTATTATACCGAACAATAAAAAAAAAAATATTCAAATCGGTTCAGCCGTTCTTGAGTTTTGACGACCGTGACATACGAACACAACATTTTTATTAATATAGATGAAAGAAAAATTAATTATCTTTATTTTGACGTCATTAGTTTTTTAATAGGTTATGTTGTTCAGAAGATATTAATATTAAAAAAAAAATTCGAAAATTTAAATTTAACCATTGATATCTTTTTTATATTTTAATTTCGCCAGGTAATTTTGGTAGGGTTGAAATCAGCACAAAAAGTTCTGTCGAGCCACATTTTTGGTTTTTGCATCGCTAGATTGTTGATATTCTAGACTTACGTGCACACAACGACTTCGGACTAATTCTGATTAAATCCTGCAGTACGGGAACAGACTAACTGTCGGCAAGTTGGTTGCGAGTTTGGATTATCAAAGTCACAAACCGAATCGGGTCAAAAAAAGGGTTGCATTCGCATAAACTCCAAATAAAATTGGTGTTTAAGGAGAGTTTAACGAAATTTTTTGTATGGTAAACTCCGAATTTAAGAGTAGAGTTAAGGCTTAAACTCCAAAATGGCCCATAAACACGAGTTAGTGGCTCAATGTGAATGCCTTATTAAATAAAGGAAGGTTTGTGGAAAATACGTGGCTTGCAAAATTGGAGTCGAGTTAAAGTAGTTAAATAAGAGGGTAAGGACTGTTAGATGTGGTAGTGCCGGATCAAGATTTGGAACGCAGATCTGTTACGACGGATAAAAGCCAACTTTGCGAATGATTTCGAAACAAAATAATTAATATGCGTGGTGAAGCTGAGTTTCGATTCAAAGTCAGGGCCGGCTTTAGATGAACTTCAATAATTTGACATAAAGCTTCATATATTTATGTACTAATACAACTGTTACAATTATGACACATAGCTCTCATTCGTGCTTTTGAAGCTAAACTGCAAGTTTTTGGTAAAGGTGTTGTTTTCAAAAATTCCAAAGTTTCCCTAAACTTTAAAAATTTTAAATCCGGTTTGGATTTGCATGAAAAACCAGACGAAGAAAAAGTCACTGAAGAGGTTTCTTTGGTAAAAAATTCTTTATTTTCTTGCTTCTGTACTAATAATATGTATTTATATAGTATATATTTATATATGTATGTTCATTCCTATAGACTCATCTTATTACATTAAACGAGCAATTCTTGTATATATAAGTTAACACTCCCCAGAGTTAACTCGCTGCGGCGCTCCCACTGTTGCCCACTACACGTGCCGCTAAGTCAGCACAATTACATTCTCACGGCGCGCGGCAACCTAACACCCAAAGTCAAGGCCATGACTAGTACCAGCGATTAATACGTATGCTACTGCATTACTCCAGACGCATCGTCAGCATAATACTATTTCGCATACTTGTGAAATAGCATCAACCCATAATGCATGTGTGGGAACTAACGGACGAACTTATTCACAGACAACAATTATGCAACAGGTACGCTGCTACTGGACATTGGCTATAAAGGGAAGCAGCGGACACAAAGCGGGCAGTCGAGTTCGGGACGGTAACGCTACGGTTTAGATTAAGAATTCTAATTGTAATTGTGTAAATAGAATAAACTGTGTTTGATTCCAAAATTTGTGTTGTAAATTTGTAACTTGTAGTTAGAACTGTTGGGCGCGTTGGCCCAACTAAATTATTTTTTTGACTTATACGGACCTAACGTCCGTAACTTACATATATATAACAGTACAAAACAGAAAAGAGATTACTTTTAAGCACAGCAGAAATGCTAATTTAATACATAAGTAACATAATAACATAGGAACTACACTACTCAGCTTTACTTATCGGCGGCAATATCCCCTGGCCCGTAAATGAGTCCGGCTTGACGAGTTTACTCCCAGAAGAGCCGACGTCTAACACTGCGATCTTGGTAGCTGGGCGGTGTAGTATTCCTGAAGTAGTTTTCACTTCCGCGCTGCGCACCTGTCCGTCTTTGGCTGTCACAATACGAATCACCTTACCTCTCGGTCAGCAATTCCTTGGCAAATTTTCGTCGACTATGACGACAATATCTCCAACACGTATCGGCGGTACCTTATTAAACCATTTGCTACGTCTAGAGATGATGGGTACGTACTCCTTAACCCATCTGTGCCAGAATATGTCAGCGAACTTTTGGGTCTGGTACCAACGTTTTCTTAGGTCTAATTCGTCGGTACACACGGGTTTGAAGCCATCCGGCGAACCCAGCAGAAGGTGATTTGGCGTAATAGCATCGTCGTCGTCTGATTCGAGTGAAACGAAAGTTAAGGGGCGTGCATTTATGATGTATTCTACTTCGCATAAGCTACTTTTGAGGCTTTCGTCGTTGAAGTTTGCATACGGCATAATATTGTACAAAACAGATTTGACAGACCGCACGAGCCGTTCCCAAGCCCCTCCCATATGAGGCGCTGCTGGCGGAATGAACTTCCAGCTGATCTGGTCGAATGTTGACATAAGTAGTGAAAAATCTACCTCTTTCATCTCCGCGCATATGATCTTTTTCGCAGCTTTGAAATTCGTGCCGTTATCGGTGAAGATTTGTCGGGGGTAGCCACGGCGAGCTACAAAATTTCTGATCGACATAACGCAAGAACTTGTATCCAGGCTGTGCGCAATTTCCATATGAATAGCGCGCAGTGTTAGACAGGTGAATAAAACACCCCACCGTTTTTCCCGCCTTCTCCCAACGTTCACCAAGAGTGGACCAAAGAAATCGATTCCGACGAAAGTAAAAGGCCTTTCGAAGGCTGCAAGCCTCGCACTTGGCAATACCGCCATTTGTGGCGCATTTGGTTTAGCGGTGTAATTTTTACACTGCTGACAAGATTTGCGGACCTTTCTGTACAAGACTCGTAGTCGAGGTATGTAATATTGTGCGCGTACTGTATTAATGATAGCTTCGTGCATGTGGTGATGGAATTTTTCATGTATCGAGCGAACAATTAAAAATGTAACATGGTGTGAATTTGGTAGCACAATAACGTCCGCACGACTGTTAAGGTGCTCTGCGCGGCTTTTGCTCTTAATTACTCCGCTCTTGTCTAAATATACATTCAAAGAGCCAAGCTGGCTATGCTTACGCGGAGCTTTACCGAGACTCAAGAGGTTTATTTCTTCGCGATATACGCTGTCCTGAGCATATTTTATTATGATTATTTGAGCTCGTTGAATCATTTGAAAATCGATGGCTTTATTAAACTTTTGCGTTTTAGTCGCTGCAAGCAGTTTATTCATATACAGCAAGAACGTCGCAACTGCTCTATATAAGCGTTTCCAATCCGAGAAATATTCTGTGTCCAGCGATAAACTTTTTTGAATTACCCTGTCTATTTGCAGCACGTAACGTTTTAGTTCGACTTGGTCGATTTCGTCGCCTTTGAACTCTTCGCAATGAGGCCACTCATTCGATTGAGATAGTAAAAACTGTGGACCAGAGAACCACATCTTGTAGTTAAGCCGAACTGAACTTTTCGTGGCTAAGTCGGCCGGGTTCTCTTTCGAAGGTACCCAATCCCATTGGGATACGTTTGTGGACTCTAAAATTTCTCCGACTCGATGCATAACATACGGTTTGAAGTTCTTCGGGTCCATTCGCAACCACCTTAGAACCGTCTTCGAGTCCGTCCAAAAATAGTGTTTTGTTATGGGTATGCGTTGAACATTAAGTACTGCACCTGCTAGTCTTACTCCTACGAGCGCGGCCTGAAGCTCTAGTCTAGGTATAGACAATGGCTTTAGAGGCGAAACCTTTGATTTCGCGGCAACGAGTGCAACGGAGATGCCATTAGTATGCTCAACACGCAAATAGCACACAGCTGAATATGCGTTTTCGCCAGCATCCACAAACATGTGAAGTTGAACCTCCTTCGCATGTTGTAAAAACTCTGAATAGCAGCGAGGAATTTTCGCTGTCTTTATAACTTCAATATTTGACTTCCAATGGCACCATTTTTCATATAAATCTATGCTTAGGGGTTCATCCCATCCAATATCAGATCGCCAAATATCTTGGAGAAGGATTTTAAGCCCTATAGTGAAGCAACTTATAAGTCCGAGCGGGTCAAAAATTGACATGAGTACTTGAAGTATCTCTCTTTTTGTCGGTACGATCGAGTTGTTTACGACATCTCGGCGTAATCGCATAAATCTGCAAATATATCTAAACGAATCGTTAGCTGAATCCCAAAACATACCTAATATTTTTGCCGCAGATCCCCACTCTTTCGGGCCTTGAATTTCTGCCGCATCTCCACGTAGTTGTTCGAGGACGAACTTGGAGTTGGAGGTCCAGCTATGTATGTTAAAACCGGCAGATGCATGAATTTGCTTAACTTGCAGAGCTAATTCTAAAGCTGCTTGCTCGCTGTTTTCACTATCTATAAAATCATCCACATAGTGATGTTTTTGGATCGCTTCTACCGCTCGTGGAAAATCTTCTTCAAAACAGCTCGCATTTTTATCGCGCACAAAATGCGCAATGTAAGGAGCGCAGCTCGTTCCGAACGTCAATGCTCGCATGACGTAAATGTTCGGTTGTTTTGATTCTTCATCGTTGTCCCACCATAAAAATCGCTGAGCATGTCGGTCGCTTTCTCTGACTTTGATACGGTGAAACATCTCGGAGATGTCACCGCATATGGCTACTTTACCTACTCTAAACGCCAACAATATCTCGAACAGTGAATTGAGCATATCTGGACCAGTAAGCAGGAAGTCGTTTAGCGATACCCCTTCGGCCTTCGCTGCAGCGTCCCAAACTAAACGTTCCTTTCCCGGTTTATTTGGGTTCGTTACTACGAATATGGGAAGATACCATACTTTTTCCCTTTCTATGTGAAGTTCAGGTGTGCTTAGTTTTTCAGCATAACCTTTTGATACTAGATTGTTAATTTGCTGCTGAATTTCTGCTCTCAAATTTGGATCTCGAGCACACTTCCTCTTGAGACATATGGCTCGGTTAAGCGCGTTTGAGTAACTGTCTGGTAAAGATACATTTAGATCTCGCCATGGCAAACCAATCTCGTAAAAACCATCAACCTTGCGACATGTGGCATTCATTAAGTCTACGGCCGTTTGATCTTCTGCAGATAACAAATTTGATGCGTCCGGTGACTCCAATCTGAAGAACTCCTTTACTCTCTCATGTAATTCTAGGTAGCCCTTCTGGCAGTCACAATAGTGAACGTTGAGTCGGAAGTCAAAAATGTGATCGTTCTGACCGCCTTGAACTGTCCAGCCTAGACGCGTTTTCGAAGCGATTGGCTGCATCCACGCTCCCTCTTTTACTTTTAAAGGAACAGCTAATTTCCAGTTGTCAGCGCCAATGAGTAACGATGGTTTCACTTTATTATAAGATTCGATTGGCAAACCGTTCAAGTGCGGATATTTTTTAGCTATTGTTTCAGCATCGATCGACTGCTCAGGTAAGTCGAGGGCGTTGACAGTATGCACACCATTCAATTTATATGTACGCCTATTGGTAGCATTCGAGATCTTGATTGTTGCTCGCACTGATTCATTTTCGGAGCGTGTCGTGTTACCAGTCCACCGTAGACATATAGGATCATGTGTACCTTTAAGGCCAAGTTCATCAAATAAATTCTTATCGATTAATGTTACTGCTGAACCTTCATCTAAAAAGGCGAAAACTTTTACCATTTTCCCGTTTGCATGTATAAAAATTGGGACGATCCTAAAATATGGTTGTTTCCCGACAGCGCTGTGGCTATGGGTGTTTACTTGGGCGTCCGATTGCGGGAGCATATCAGACTTCGTAGCTTGTCGGTTCGAGATTAACGAGACGTTTGTCTTATGAAGTAACTTGTGGTGCTTTATAGTACAGCCGTCTATACCGCACACCTTTTCCACAAAACACCTGCGCTTATGTGTACCCAGGCACTGTCGGCAAAGACTGTTTGATTTTACAGTGTCCCACCGACGATTTAATGGGAGATTTTTAAAAACGCTACATTGCGATACATTATGATCGGAACCTTTGCAACAGCAACACAATTTGTTCTTGAAAAGGGTTCTATCAACCTGGTGTACTTCGTCCTGCGACGCAACGGTGTGAGTGTTCATTACTGAACTACCTCTGGTTGGCGTAAAAGATACGACCATGCTAGCAGCTTCAGCAAGTTTGTAAAGCCAGTCGCTGAATAATTTAACAGCAGGGATTGCATTGTCTTTAGGAGTCATCGCCCAGTTGAGTTTTTGATTATTCGGAAGTTTGTCGACTAATTCTTTGACGAGAAGTGGGTTGTGTAAATGTGCATACATCTGACATCCTTCCATAGTTGTACAAATATTCTTCACGCATAAGGCGAAATCTATCAGTGATTCTAATTTATCTTTAATAGGAGGCATTGCGCGAGCCCTATTCATTGCACGTTCAAGAATCTGCTCAGGTCTACCGAAACACATCTTTAGCGTTTGGATTATGTCGGCAACCATAGATGGCAAAAATAATTTATTTTTCACTATGTCACGAGCCTTACCTTTGAGACAAGCTTGCAAACGAATGAGGTTCTCCGCGTCTGAGTATCCAGCTACTGCAGTGCTATTTTCAAATGTGCTGATAAATAGCGGCCACTCCTCAGGATCGCCGCTGAACATAGGCAGTTGTTTTGGTATAGATTGCCTTGCTGCTAGTTGCGTAGCTGTTGGCCCATTGTTGAGTAAACTAAAGGTGTTCGACGAGATAGATTCCGAAGATTGCGATAAAATTTTATATTTATTTTCCAGGTACTGTTGCTGGATCTTGAACACCTCCTCTAGTCGCTCAAGCTGCAGATTTCGTTGACTTACTGGTGAACTATGATTTTGGCCAGTTGCATTTAGCATTGACTCAACGCCTCCCAGCGCATATACATTGTGATGCGTATTTATTACGCTTGGCGTCTTCGGATTCTCGGAGATTGGTAATGATACGAAATTCATTGGATTGGTGAACGCTGCTGTACCGGGAAAAGTTTGCGAAACCGTTGAAGTACTCTGTACGACCGGAATTGGTCTTCGTACACATTGAGTAGTCTGCCCAGGTGTCCTTGCATGCGCTTCGATAAATATCTGGTTACCATGTAGATTAGCAGTTGCGATCACTGATGCAGTCGGTTCGATCACTGAAAAATGTACGCGACGATCTACTGTTGTTCCTCCAATATTGGTCGTAGGCGATGATGAAGAGATGGGTCTTGTAAGTCTTGCCGATGCACTGTGTTCACAAGCGTCACAGCTCCAACTTACTTCAGCTATGCAGCTATCGACTCCGACACAGGTAAAATGGAACCATCCATCACACGTGTCACATTGGACCATATTATCGTCGTCCACGGCATTACACTTTTTGCAATTATTCGTCATAGTAAAATATTTGACTTCACGTTGCAAAAGTATTTCGAGTACAAAATTTTAAAAGAATTGTTGTTTGCGATTGCAGTTTTTAATAAAACACAATTTTTCTAGTATGCGAATAATGCGCTATACTTTTAAAATTTTGTGTATTTCTGCGTCTTTACTGCTGTGCTGTACAACTTCAACTTTTTTCTACGACATGACGTGATATTGAATTTGATGAGGACCGTTAGGCTGTATTCCTATGTAAATCAAAGTGTACATGATGTGTGTGTATCTAAATACATGCATTATACCTTCTCTTTTATATAAAAGTTAACACTCCCCAGAGTTAACTCGCTGCGGCGCTCCCACTGTTGCCCACTACACGTGCCGCTAAGTCAGCACAATTACATTCTCACGGCGCACGGCAACCTAACACCCAAAGTCAAGGCCATGACTAGTACCAGCGATTAATACGTATGCTACTGCATTACTCCAGACGCATCGTCAGCATAATACTATTTCGCATACTTGTGAAATAGCATCAACCCATAATGCAAGTGTGGGAACTAACGGACGAACTTATTCACAGACAACAATTATGCAACAGGTACGCTGCTGCTGGACATTGGCTATAAAGGGAAGCAGCGGACACAAAGCGGGCAGTCGAGTTCGGGACGGTAACGCTACGGTTTAGATTAAGAATTCTAATTGTAATTGTGTAAATAGAATAAACTGTGTTAGATTCCAAAATTTGTGTTGTAAATTTGTAACTCGTAGTTAGAACTGTTGGGCGCGTTGGCCCAACTAAATTATTTTTTTGACTTATACGGACCTAACGTCCGTAACTTATATATATATATATCCACAGCGTTCTCGGAAACGGCTCTAACGATTTTGATGAAATTTTGTACGCAGATAATGTAATGGATTTTAAGGTTATCTGAATAGGTAATATCTCCGAGAAGACTCGTATAAGGTTGCCACCTATTCCAAATGAGTTACAAATTAATTAAAACATCATAATATGGGTATCAAATGGAAGGTATTTTAAAGATCCCTAATTCAAAAATATTTTTAATAGGGTCGCCACCTTGTTTGAATCGTATATTTACTTAATTTTTTGTTAAGAAAAAAAGGTGAAATATTACTACTCATGGGTAGTTTTGATACTGCCCAATTTATCTAAAACATCGCAACATTAACATCAAATGAAAGGTATTGTAGAGAACTTTGGTCAGAAAATATTTTCCATTAGGGTAGCCACGCTTCTATGTAATACAAATTTTTATTTTGTTAATTTCAATCAGCATTTTTTTTATGTATACCCAGTACATATGTATTCCAGCGTATTTCGGAATAGGGTTGCCACCTAAATTTTGGAGTAAGAAATTTACTTAATAGATATCGAAATCCAATTTTTGTTTTCTATTTCCAAAATATTTTTTTAAAGCTATCTAAATCTTGAAGACTTGAAAAAGTATATGCACTCCGGGCAAAGCTCGGTCAACCTGGTACTATTCATTATATCAGGACAAATTTTACATTAACATTTTTCGTATTTTCTTTACAAATCGGGCAATCGAGTCGGCCCCGCACGCTGGCAAATAAAAATTCCTTCCGACCAAACTACATCGAAATGCACGCATGTTTTCATAGATATATGCAGAAATGTTTATTACAGAAGTTGTTGTTACAAATTTTCGTCCACTAGGCGCAGGAATTGCTAAAATGTTAAATTTTTCATAAAAAAAATTATTTAAAAGCAAAAAAAAATATTTTTGTAACGCTAATAATTTAATTGTATAGTTTAATGTTTTGCACCCAAAATTTTTTTTTCATTCGGACACTTACTTTCAAAGAAAAATAAAAATTTCCAAAACACTGCAAAATTTTTCAATTGTTGATTTAAAAAAAAACTATATGGAATTTTGCAACAAAATTTACACAGTGTACTTTTCGACTACAAAACTCGGCGCTGCCTGAATATCATTGAAAAATATTAATCTTGGTAAATTCGGGGCCCACTTGAGGAAGCCTTACCCATATGTAAGAAAACCTCCGACAATCTGACGGAGGTCTATTCAGTGGTTTTTGATGCATTGCATTTGCAATATATGCATTTGCATATACTGTTTTTTTTACGTTTTAGTCTGTATAAGAATTTAAGGAATATCCCGAGCTACATACGGAGTAAATTTTTGGTCGAAATATTTATTTTCAAGGTGCTGGCATATGTTTTAATTATGAACCAAATCGGTGCAGCGCTTTAATAGTTTAGTGAATTACATTGTACAGAAAACTGTATGAAATTGTAAAGTGTGACGTCTCAGATTTCTTAATTTTTTGGCAGCAACAACAAAAAGTTTTCATTTTTTTCTGCGTAAAACCTTCCACACAGAAGTTCCAAAAAAGTGCGATTGATTATGTTTGAACACACTTAATTGAATGTCAATAAAATTAAGTTTGTGGTTAATGTGCGAAATTTTGAGAACAGTCCGTTGCTAACTCTAAATATAAACAACGACACACTGGAAAAAGTTAATACATTCGAATACCTAGGAATAATGATCGACGATAAACTAAAACAAAAAAAAAAACAATGGATTCTATATTTTCAATTAGAGCTCTAGCAATGTGTGCATCGGTGAAAACTGCATTTAATTCCATACATTGTTTTGCGTGATGCGCTTACAAACATACAGACAAACAGACCAAAATTATAAAAATTTTATATTTGGCTTCTGTTGATCTAATAAACCCCCTATTAATTTTTCTTTAAAACCTATTACAATTTTATTATTCTCAAATACTTTCGTTTGATACCTATATGGCAATATTTAGCCTATCTTATCAATTTACCTGAATTACACTTTTCAAATAGGTGGCAACCCGCTTCAAAAATATTTTCGGAATTAAGCTCCCTAAACCACTTTAGTTTCTTATCTGTATTGTAATATTTAATTTATTTTACCAATTTAAATGAATAAAAGTTTTCAAACACGTGGCAAATCCCTTAAAAATATTTTCGGCATTAAAACTTGCGAACCTCTTTGGTTTGATGCCAGTATTGCAGTATTTAATTTATGATATCTATTTAATTAAATAATAGTTTTCAATTAGGTGGCAACAGTGTTGTCAAGTTTTGAATTTGAAAAAGCACTAAAACCCCAAAAAAATCGCGTTTTTTTCGAAAGAAGCACCAAATTTTTTATTGGAGGATTCAATGGACTTTGTATGCATACAAAATTTTATTGTAGCATTTATTTCATTTTCATTTATTATAATCAAACACACAACCATGAGTTATTTTACAGTGTTTGAACTTAATTTAATTATAAAAGCTTAAAAATAACATTAAGGGAAACCGTAGGTTGTAAAAATGTGTAAGGAGGAGAAGAAGAACAAAGAAGTATTAGAAAAAAGAAAAATATATGTGTACGTGCATCTTAGCAATTTAGAGGGCAAAAATTATGTAAGAGCTCATTTTTAAAGTGCGATGTACTTCGGATAGTTTTGATCTTATATGGCAGAGCGTTCCAAAGACGAACAGCAAAAACAAAGAACTGACGTTCAGATACAAGGCAACTGTATGCCATACTAAGCAGGTTAAGTGATCGGGCCGATCTCGTGAATTGAATTCGTTCAACAAGGTATTTGGGCTCATGAGAGTTAATTACCTTGTGAAGCAGCATTAGGCATTTTACTTTTAATAAATCGTCGAACTTTATAGAAAATATTTTTAAGGCAAAAACAGATATGTGATCACGACGTTTTACACAATACACGTATCTGGCGATGTTGTTGTAGAGGATATTAAGTTTGCCACGACACAGACTATCACAATTGGCATACAGTTCACATCCATACAATAAGGTTGGTAACAGAAATGTTTTAGCTAAAAGCAGTCGAATTTTCTCTGGGGTAAAGTGCTGAATAGTCCATAATGAACGGAGCATGCCATAAACCTTGCCTATTGCACTATAAATGTGGGTATTCCACGATAGGGTTCTATTGAAAATTATCCCTAGGTTTCTTGCAGTGTCAACAAATTTTATAACAGAGTTGTTCAATTTCACTTCACTGTAGCCCTCAAGTTTGAAAGTCTTCTTGTAAATAACGATGCACTGTGATTTACTTGGATTTAAAAGTAACCCATTGTCACAGGCCCACTTGCTAACGTGATCTAAGTCAGTGTTGAGGTTACTAATACAATTATTAACGGATACAAAAGGGCAACTGACATATAGTTGAACATCATCTGCATATACATGAATATCACAATATTTTAACACACTTTGAAGATCGTTTACATATAACACAAACAATAGAGGACCGAGAGTCGAGCCTTGGGGAACGCCTTTAGTTACGGGTAAGCAGTTAGATATAATGTCACCGGCCCAAACAGCTTGTGAGCGATCATTGAGGTATGATTTTATTAAATTTAATGCTGTCGACGAGAAGTTAAACAAGTTGCTAAGTTTCAAGGCTAGAAGATCGTGATTAACAGTGTCGAAAGCTTTGGAATGATCCAGAAGTGTTAATAAAGTCACGCGATCGTTGTCAATGTTTAGTCTGATGTCGTCTGATACCCTAATTAGCGCCGTTATACAGCTTCGGTTGGATCTAAAACCAGATTGGTACCTATTCACCAGCAGGTTTCGACTCAGAAAAGAATTTATCTGAGTATGCATAATGCGCTCAAGTACCTTGGATAAAAAGGGTAGTATTGCGATGGGTCTAAAATCCCCATTAGATTTCTTAATTGGAATGATTTTTGCCGACTTCCAACAGTGAGGAAAAACAGACGTGGTCAAAATGCTGTTGAAGACATAAGTTACGTACGGTAAAATTTTAGGCAATAAGCATTTAAAAAATTTCGGATGAATTCCGTCTATACCAATCGCATTAGATTTCACACTGAGGACGGACTCGACAACGGCACAATCATCAATATTGGAGAAGGTAAAACCAGGTATTGTTCCATTCATACATACACTGTACTTTTCACGACATATATTACTGCTACAGGCGGATAATTGTACAAATTTCTCATTCAGCTCATCTACGTTTATATTCTCTGAAACATGATTACTTTTGTTGCCAATCCCTATTTCACGAATATATTTCCATGTTTTTTTAGAACTTATTGCTGTGCTAAACTGATGCTCATAGTATTTCAGTTTTTGCAATTTAATGGCTCTGGTGGCTTCTCTTCTATGACCCTTGAAGACATTATATGTTGCTGCACATTTCAGGTGTTTCCACTTTCTATATGCCTTGTTGCGCTTCTGAATAAGACCCTTTATATAGTTGTTGAACCAAGGCCGTTTGCGAATATTGCCTGATTTTGTTACAAGCGGCACATACTGTTCATATAGGGAACTTATATTGGTTTGAAGAAAATTCACCTGCTCGTTTGTGGATACCAAAGTGTAAACATACTCCCAGGGTATGGCATCAACAGCTTCTTCAAGTTGCTCATAATTAATATGCATAAAATCTCGATATGAATAAGAAACCGTATTACAAGCTAACTTAAAATCCAGTGTTAGAAAAATGAGGTCATGCTTAGAGAAATTTGGGACGGAGAGCTGGTCATAGATTAGAACTTTCGACCTATCACTTACAAAAAATATGTCCAAGAGCGTGCTGCTTGTTTGGGTGTAATGTGTAGGGGTTGACGTGTTTACTGGGAAAAGACCCAGATTTTGCATTGCAAGTGAAAATTTGTTTTCAGTCAGCAAATCACTGTTAAAATCTCCAGCTATTACAATATCACTAAAGCTGAGGCTAAGATTTTCAATAAAATCTATAAAATTATCATAACCAATGTGTTTGTGAGGTCTATAAACACATCCTATGAGTATCTTTGTATGATTACACATGATTTCAACAAAGAGGTATTCAATTGAACTATAAGGCTCTGATGTACATTTAATTCTACAGGACAAACTAGATTTGACGAACACGGCAACACCGCCACCGTGCCCAAGTCTATCTAAACGAAAAAGTTTATATCCATCAACACAAAACAAATTGTCACTATGCCACGCAGAGAACCAAGACTCGGAAACACATACAACATCAATGTCAGACGATTCAAAAATGTATCTGAACTCATCTATTTTAGCTGGTAAGCTCTGGGCGTTAAGATGACATATTTTTAACCCGTTTCTTTGTCTACCAAGTATGCGCATCATATTAAACGTGCTGTCATAGTCTTTAGAACGAAAGCGGCTGTTAATATTCAAAACAACAAAAGTATCGAAGACATTGCACTTTGATGTCAAGCAAAAAGCCACATAAAATGCCAAACAAATTGCAGCACTTGAAAAAAAGAAAGAGTAAGAGAGCGAAAGAAGTTAACAAACAAAAAGTTAGAAATAAAGAAAAATATGTGCAGCGCAGGTATAGAAACATAAGGGAAGGAGAAGCGTAAATTAACATTATATTAAATTCTAAACTAAATACTAGTTAAGAGAAAAATATGTTGACAAAAACGCGCGAGTGTTCTTTTTGTTAGTGTATTGAATGATTTTATGTTATGCTTAAAAGAGTATTCACGTCAGCGGTACTGCACACTAATTGGCGCTCTTCGTTTGGTTTTCGCCTGATATAAACTTTGCCCCTGATTGAGAACGCAGACGTTAGTAGCTTTTTTCTCCGGAGTTCTGAGGCGTACGATATCACCTCACGCAACACTTTTGGCAAACTCTCATGCACATATACACTCCCATATCCGGGCTGATCGATGTCAGAGAGTGTGAGAGATCTTTTACGGGACTTGCACAGGGCAGCAATTGATTTAAAGAGCTGTGTCCGGTCATGTGAAGAGCACAGTTTAACGATGATTGGTGCGTGGCTGTTATTATTTTGCGTTTTGCCTTTCGCACTTCGCAATCTAAACGCCTCACGCAGTGCCGGAGTTTTGTGGTGCGCTGCACTGCATAGCTTACCGAAGATGTCAGGCAAATTCTCATCAACAGTTTGAGGGATTCCGTTTATTACGATGTCTGTGGCGACGGCGTCGCTTTGCAGTTCAGTGAGCTGGGCACGAACAGCAACAAGTTCACCGTGCATATTATTAAATTTGACGCAAGAGTTCTCAACCTCAGTCACTCTCGTCTCAATAGCGGTTAAAGAAAATTTTAAGTTTGCTATTTCCCCAGCTAACTCACCAATTTTCTGCATGACTCTTTCCTCAGAGCTCTTAATTACAGTTGTCAGCTCTTGAATGATGGAGATTCTTTGCTCATCGAGTTTCATTACAGCCGATGTGGTGATTTGTGGAGTTTTTGGAGGTGTTGATGAAGCTTTGCGTTGTGAATTTTTACGTGTTGCTGACATCACGGAAAACAATCTCAGGTTCTGGTGGACAGGAAAAAAGTTGTTTCACACGCGCACGTTTATATGCCCGCAGTGGAAATTTTAAATAGCAAAAATAGTCAAGTAAAATGTGAAAAACTCGGGAGCACAACAAAGCACGTCCTACTCGCACAAGAACATGGGCTGGCAGTATACCTACTAAAAATTAATGTTTCTTCCTTAGCTGTCGAAGGTTCGTTATTCATTTTACTGTTAAGAGATGCTATTCAGCCCGAATTAAAGGTCTAAAGATCTATTCCTGGTCCCAGCAACATGGACGTTTTTACAGGCAATGGCAAATTACCGTATGTAATTCTGGCATGATTTAAAGTTCTTCCACATATTTTTTTGACAAACATAGGCCCTTTCGCTTATGATTGTCATTGTGCCGTGATTTTGTTTCCATTTTTGTAAAGTTCCTTACGAAACTTTCATTCTAAATTTAACTTCCATTTTTGTTTCAGATTTACAGTTTGGGTATCCTCAAACTAAAAAAAGCACCAAAAAACGCACCAAGCAACAAACTCAAAATTTTTCGCGTTTCGAATTAAGAAAAGCACTAAGTTGGCAACAGTGGGTGGAAACCTTCCACCTTCCAGCTGTAAGCCTTTGCCTCTTTCTTTTGACAGCCATATTGCAATATTTACTTTATCGTATCAATTTACTTGAACTGACATTTTCAAACAGGCAGCAGCTCTCTAATTTGTTTCTTCTATATTGTAAGCTAGACATCTAGCGATACATCGGTGAAAACTGAATTTGATTCCATGCTTTAGTTTTCGAGTGATGCGCGTACAAATATACAGACAGGCAGACAAAAATTCTAAAAATTGTTGATTTGGCTTCTGTAGTTCTAATAAAGACCCCCATATTAATTTTTCTTTAATATCTATAATGTACAGAGATCATCAGTTACAATTTTATTATAATTACAAATAGAGATTTCATTTATTTTATCAATTTAATTCAATAAAATTTTTCAAACAGGTGGCAACCCTCCGTTTGTAAGCTTTCTTAAACTTCTTTCTTTTAACGCCCATATTGCAATATTCACTTTTTCTTATCAATTTACTTAACCTGTAATATTCAAACAGGTGGCAACTCTCTAATTTTTTTCTTTCTATATTTTAAGTTAGACCTCTAGCAATACATCAGTTAAAACTGCATTCAATTCCATGCATTAGTTTTCGAGTGATGCGCGTGCAAACATACAGACAGACAGACAGACAATAGACAGACAAACAGACAGACAGACAGGCAAAAATTCTAAAAATGGTTGATTTGGCTTCTGTTACTCTAATAAAGACCCCCCCCCCNTTTTTGTAAAGTTCCTTACGAAACTTTCATTCTAAATTTAACTTCCATTTTTGTTTCAGATTTACAGTTTGGGTATCCTCAAACTAAAAAAAGCACCAAAAAACGCACCAAGCAACAAACTCAAAATTTTTCGCGTTTCGAATTAAGAAAAGCACTAAGTTGGCAACAGTGGGTGGAAACCTTCCACCTTCCAGCTGTAAGCCTTTGCCTCTTTCTTTTGACAGCCATATTGCAATATTTACTTTATCGTATCAATTTACTTGAACTGACATTTTCAAACAGGCAGCAGCTCTCTAATTTGTTTCTTCTATATTGTAAGCTAGACATCTAGCGATACATCGGTGAAAACTGAATTTGATTCCATGCTTTAGTTTTCGAGTGATGCGCGTACAAATATACAGACAGGCAGACAAAAATTCTAAAAATTGTTGATTTGGCTTCTGTAGTTCTAATAAAGACCCCCATATTAATTTTTCTTTAATATCTATAATGTACAGAGATCATCAGTTACAATTTTATTATAATTACAAATAGAGATTTCATTTATTTTATCAATTTAATTCAATAAAATTTTTCAAACAGGTGGCAACCCTCCGTTTGTAAGCTTTCTTAAACTTCTTTCTTTTAACGCCCATATTGCAATATTCACTTTTTCTTATCAATTTACTTAACCTGTAATATTCAAACAGGTGGCAACTCTCTAATTTTTTTCTTTCTATATTTTAAGTTAGACCTCTAGCAATACATCAGTTAAAACTGCATTCAATTCCATGCATTAGTTTTCGAGTGATGCGCGTGCAAACATACAGACAGACAGACAGACAATAGACAGACAAACAGACAGACAGACAGGCAAAAATTCTAAAAATGGTTGATTTGGCTTCTGTTACTCTAATAAAGACCCCCCCCCCCACATTAATTTTGCTTTAATATCTACAATGTACAGACATCGGCCTGTTACAATTTTATTATATGTATAGATTTTATTGCATTCATGGCTAGTCCAGTTCACAAGTGCTATTTATATGTACATTATAAATACGTGAGTCCTTACTAACTACTTACCGCGAAAGGTACACAGAGACATTTAAGAGACGCTTAATTCGTTATTTTTTAAATTTTTGTACGATTTAAGTATCAATTAACGGTGACGATTTCTTGTTGGCACGCCATGGCAATATTGAATATTTCTTTGGAAATAATGGCACGTATATGTATAAAGTTTCGCCGGCCCTGTTCTAGTGCATAGTATGTACACTAGGGTGCTCCAAAAAATATATGAGAAAAAGTAAAGTCGGAATTTTCATGTAGTAAATATAATTTAACGGTCCGCCAAAAACCCCAGAAAATCCTAAAAAATGCAATGGGGACAAAGAAATCGTTAGTATTTAAAAATGGTTAAATGAACAATTAGGTATTATTATTGGAAGTCTCCTGAAGAAAATCAGAGTTTCCGATCGAAAAATATTGATTTAAAGAATTCTATACTATTTCTACGAAAAGTTGTTTCTTCATATAAAATACATTGAGCGCTTTGAGCGACCTTTATATATTTTTTGATTTCAAAATAAAAAATAGAGGTATATTTCTCGATATAAAACAATGCTAGGGGTTAGAGCATTAAAATTCCGACTTCTTACCAAGTAGAATTCTCCTTTCTGTGTGGCCGGAAAAGGGGGTCGGAAGTATTTTTGCGCAGAACTTCTTTCTACGTAGGCGGCCTTCGGCCGCGCTTAGCGATTATAACCCTTACTAAGTACAATTCTCCTTTCTGTGTTGCCGGAAAAGAAGGGCGGAATTATTGTTGCGCAGAACTTCTCTCTGCGTAGGCGGCCTTCGGCCGCGCTTAGGGATTATAACCCTTACTAAGTAGAATTCTCCTTTCTGTGTTGCCGGAAAAGGGGGCCGGAAGTATTTTTGCGCAAAACTTCTTTCTGCGTAGGCGGCCTTCGGCCGCGCTTAGGGATTATAACCGTTACTAAGTATAATTATCCTTTCTGTGTTGCCGGAAAAGGGGACCGGAAGTATTTTTGCGCAGAACTTCTTTCTGCGTAGGCGGCCTTCGGCCGCGCTGAGGAATTATAACCCTTACTAAGTAGAATTCTCCTTTCTGTATTGCCGGAAAAGAAGAGCGGAAGTATTTTTGCTCAGAACTTTTCTCTGCGTAGGCGGCTTTCAGCCGCGCTTAGGGATTAAAACCCTTACTAAGTAGAAGTAAATAATTCATATTAGAAAAAACGAAATTATCAATATGCACACTTTCAAAACCGAAATAATGCATATATGCACAGTTTCGGTTGAAAACCGCAATAATGCATATTAGAAAAACCGAAATTATGCATATGCACTCTTTCGTTTGAAATAATGCATAATGCATATGTTGAAAGACGAAGGTATGCATACATGCACAGTTTCGGTTGAAAACCGAAATAATGCATATGAAAAAAACCGAAATAATGCATATATGCACAGTTTCGGTTGAAAACCGAAATAATGCATATGAAAAACTCGAAGTAATGCATACATGCACAGTTTCGGTTGAAAGCCGAAATAATGCATATGAGAAAATACCGAAATTATGCATATGCATACTTTCGTTTTAAAACTGAAATAATGCATATGAAAAAAAACGAAGTAGTGCATACATGCACAGTTTCGGTTTAAAACTGAAATAATGCATATGGCAAAAACCGAAATAAAGCATACATGCACAGTTTCGGTTGAAAACGAAATAATGTCTAAATGCACAGTTTCCATATGCGCAATTTCGGTGCCCCAATCAAAGTGGTCTTTAACTTTTTAGTATTACTCTCAAGTTTGCTCTGACTGAAGAGGACGATTTTGATTGACAGTATCTTTTTTGAAGGTTTATATAGTAAATATTTGCAAATGCATGAATAGTATAACGGCATAACAGTGCCTGTAAATTATGCACGTTTGTTTCAAAAATCGGCACTTCATTCAGTCGTGAACTGTTTTCGAACCACGCAGAAACGTCGTGCAATATCGCACCGAACAACGATAATAATATCGATAATTATGAGGTTAATGATAAGAATTCCTCGGCACATCAAAGCCTTGTATGCTCACATTTGTTATAAAACCAAATGCAGAAAACAAACTTTTACCTTATTCAAGATATAAGAATAATGGGCCGTATGAATAAAAACTAAGCAAATCCCTTAAAACGTCAGACCTTTTACCTAAATGTATTTGAATAAATCAAGTAGGGTGTTTGGAGTTTTAAGAAAAAGCAATTGCTTAGTTTTTATTAATACGGCCCAACACGGCATACCCACATACATACTTTACTAGTTTTAAAAAATGTGACGGTTGTTGATTGAATTTTGCCCGCTTCCGTTCATGTTTGTATAAATACATCACAAAATAAAATTTTTGCAACTACAATCCATCATTACAAGTAAAGTAAAAATTAATGAGGGATCAATAATATTGAAGCAACATTTGTTGTGTAAAGCTTTTTTGCTCCAATTGATAAGTATTCCAATAGAAACGCGTATATAAGTAAAATTTGATATGAGTTACAAGCGAAATGAGAGAGGAGATTGTCCGAGCGTGTGATTTCTTACCTTTTTGTTTGTTTCTAAAGCACAACGTAGTGACGATTGATAACAGCGACTTTGGTTTACTAAAATATGTGTTCA